GGAAGGAAGGAAGGAAGGAAGGAAGGAAGGAAGGAAGGAAGGAAGGAAGGAAGGAAGGAAGGGCAGCCATGAAATCTGCACTGTGGAGGAAATGAAGTTTTTGATTTGTCATTAATGACAATTCCACGTACTCTAAAACTAATCAAAATTCTGCATCCTATATGATTAGGAAGAGCAAATACTTTGAATCATTCATCCATGGCAGCATTGCCTACAACAACTGTTCCAACCTGATCACCTTGCCATAGCCAGTTACTTTAAAAAAACAAATAGAAAGGAGACTCTGCTAGGAAGCGTTTACTGTACACACGTAAGAAATCTACATTCCTGGAGTTACTCCTCATTAAGCTGAAGAACCACAAACTAAACTGCTTCCCTAGAAGTGGGCTTTTGATGTCCTGTCTTTTATTAGCCTCAGTCTGGGACAGGATGTGCCATTTTGTATTACATAAACCGTTCTTGCCACATAATCAAAAATAGTACAGAGTGTCATTTGCTGCACAGTAACTGAAATGTCTAAACACACTTCAAATTTGCAGACTTGCCCTCTCGTTAATCAAAGTGCAAGGGCTGCTTCAGAACTAGGATATGATTTCATCATGGATTTAATTTAACCAAACAGGTTTAGCTCACTCCCTCTTCAGGATGTCCCAGTCCTCTGCCCAGTCTCAGGTCACCTTCCCAGTTCCCCCCCTAAGTGTGAAATAAAGGAGGCAGTGGGGCTACAAGAAGGCACAAGCAACAAATTGCAAAGAAAATCAGGGCTTTCAAGTGAGGTAAAAGTAAAGAAATGTGAGCAGTACAGCATGTCGCACAAGCTGAAGTCACAAAGACAAAGCCAAGGAAATCCCTTTATAGCTTAACACCACATGTGAACCTGGACATTGTGGTTGCTAACTCAAGTTTTAAAGTGTAGTACGTTCTGTGAATCTAGCCATTGTGGCTTGTTCAAGAAACCATTGTTAAAAGAACCCACCGCCTACAGCAATGTGTGAATCCAGCCATGAAAAAAAGCTGGTTCTATTGACACTTTTTTCTCAAGCAGCTTTATTGAATCATAAGCTTCAACCAGCTTACGGCAGCCATATTTGTTTGTTTGCTTGCTCGCTTACTTATTTTTAAGGTGTATAAGGCCGCCCAACTCAAAACAATGTGATTCTGGGCAGTGTACAGCCTAAAAATGCATTCCTCTGAAAACACCGTAGCTTATTTTAGACTGATTATTTTTCCCTGAATAACATAGAGTTTTTTTCTGATAATATATTTTGGTCAAGCATAATGGGAGTAATAGTTGAACAGGTCAAGAAGATGCCAGGCTAAAGAAGGTTGCAGTAATGTGATGGATGGGCTGTGCTGAGTTCTGTGTTGTGAGCAGGGGTGAAGCCCTCAGGGAGTGGGGATGGAACCTGGAGTGGGTGGGGCCACCCCTTCTCTTTCTTACCTTCCTTGTTTCTCTGATGGCTTCCCTCCTCCCAGGCTGAAAGAAAGCAGCTAAGCTTTTCCAGGGGTTCAGATGGTACTTTTGCAGTGTGAGCTACAGGTGATGTGAAATATTACTGCTTTGCAATATTTCATACTGGGGAAAAAACTCAAAATGGAAGGTGACAGACTGGGAATCCAATTACATAAAATGTCCATGTGGTGATTTCTGAGGAGCAACTATTTTTGCTTTGCTATTAAAAATGTGTCAGCAACAGTTCAATGTTGAATGAAGGAGTTTAATGAAGTTTAAATTTAAAAGTTTAATGAAGGCAAAGAAAGCGGGAATTCCCCAACATCCCACGTGTTTGTTTATTCCATCTTAGTCTTGATGTGTCTCAGAAGCCCATCAAGAGACAGCTGCTGCAATGCCTCCTGTGTGGTGAGGTCTTCTCTGACAGAGGCCACATCTTTAGGACATACCAAAGTGTTTACTCACTGTACTGCCTTGAGCAACTCTGCTCCTATTACACTGACTCTGGATTCTTTGCATTTGCAACCTGTGAAGAGACAAGGGACTGGTGAAGTTGTCTAGCTTGTGACCTTGAAAGGTATGCTACTTTTAATGGAAGCAAAATATGAGCAAGCAAGGTTAACTTGGCTGAGGCAAATAAATTGTGCATCTCATTATCTCCTGTTATTTGTGTTAACATTTCAGTCAATTCTTCCTCCCTGGACTGAATTGTCAGCTCTTTTTCATGTGGCTGTTACTGTGTCATACAGATTCAATGCAGAAGATTGTTGGATTGTGTTGTGATGCTCTCAATGTTCTGCCTTGCAAAAGAGGCACCTTGTTTGGCTCTTATTGTTCACATGTTCCTGCAGCTTGTTCTGGAGTTGTCCAATGAACAAATTGGCCTTCATGACAGTGCACCCTGTCATGAAGGTCTCCCCCAACCAGGCATTAGAAAACAAGGGTGCCCACTGCAGTTCTGTGCCTCTGAGGTGAGCCAGAAACTCAGAGAATCAATAACGAGCAAGCAAGAACAATAGAGATGCTACTGTGCAAGTTCCCTCCCTCTTTGTATGCAGCTCCAAGCGTGCAAGACGTTACCTCACAGTCTGTCACTCCTCCCTGTTATGGGACAACAGCCATGAGGAGCTTCCAAATATGGGATGCTTTCTGGATTCCTGCGTGGCAAGCCAGGTGCCATGCAGCCTTCTCCAGTCCGAAACTCTCTGGATTGCTGGACTACAGTTTCAACAATCCAGTGTAGTCAGGCTGGTGTGGGGTGATGGGAGATGTAGACCAACAGGCCAGAAGGATTCCAGGTTGGGGAAGGCTGATCTCAAGGTTAATGGGCATACCATGTGATCTTTCTCCAGGCAGAACTGAATCAGTGGATGCTGCTGTCACCAAGAAAGAAGGCTGGTCTGGATACGGTCCCCCACACTCCAAATAGATTAATGCTGTCCAAGTAGATACAGCGGATCATCTCCTTGGCACTGCCTGTACATATACAGTCTTAGGTGTTAGATTTTTTTAAAAAAATATTGCTATAATGTTTTGTGTTGCAAGACACAGTCTTGGAATGAGATCTGAATGCAATATCCGGCATCCTTATGTGAATTATGTTTGAGGAAATGGGTGAGTGCAGTATGATTACCTCCTAAAGATTTTTTAAATTTATTTTTTTTTTTAGGATTCAAACCATCATATTGTTTTGGTCAGCTGAAAATTAGCAAAATTGCACATTCGCTTATACTGTGTTTTCTTACTGTCTTTTTGGCCTTCTTTTTCAAAGAATCATAAAATGTAGGGGTTGAAAATTACAGATCCTCTGGCTAAACTCCTGTCCAGAGCAGGAATGCACTATTAGACTATCCGACCATCCAGCCTCCAACTACGCAGAGTCCACCAGCCCCAAAGGCAGTCTGCTCCATTGCCAAACAGCTTTTACTGTTAAGATTTTTTTCTTTATATTCAAGGGGAATCTGTGCATGTGTGTATACCTTTGAGTCAGTAGGTACCTTTGACTCCTGTTAACTGCCTGGACAAGTCCCTGCAGTTTTCTTGGCAAGATTTCAGAAGTGGTTTGCCATTGCCTCCTTCCTAGGGCTAAGAGAGAGTGACTGGCCCAAGGTCACCCAGCTGGCTTTGTGCCCACAGTGGGACTAGAACTCACAGTCTCCTGGTTT